TAAGAAAAGCAGTTTAAATGTTTTGCCACTTGCTTGAGCAACTTAATATATAAATCTAGAAGTAAATGCAAAAGTAAAAAGCATTGAATGATGTGTTGCTTATATTTGTGTTTAAACATGTCTGTAAAAGATTGTATTACTGTACAGTGTAAAAAAAAGAATTGCAATGCTGAAAAAAACTTTCAGTTACAATGTTTGGATTTGAAATCAAAATAATGGATAAATGTTGTGTTTGTGGTAAACAGCCACGGATCAGTAGCGAACTCCTGTGTGAAAGCTGCTTTTCCTCTCACAAGAGACACCTAAGAGGGGAATTCCCCCCATTTTCAAAAATGAAATTCAGGCCCTGAATAAATGTCTAAAAATCCTGATTGAAGTATCACTATAAATAGTTATAAATGATAAAAAGAAAGCTTTAAAAAGATCGGTATCGGCAGATACTGCTTTCAGTGATCGGCGATCAGCCTCAAAAATCCTGATCGGAGCACCCCTAGGATTCAATTTAAGAAACAAAACAAATACATAATGCATATAATAATATTACATCTTGGTTTTGGCTCTGGTGGGACTGTCCTCCTCAAATATTATCATTAAGCATAAGTACCTGAGCATTGAAGCAAATACACTTTGGAGAAACGACAATGTGTAATTATTCAACTTAAATTATCTTTTCCCTTTGTGAAACACATCACTGCGTTATATAATTTGTGCCCATTTAACAAGCAGGACACGCACTTGTTGACGCCGAAACCGCCCCCGTATCTCTAAAATCAAACAGAGATCAGTAAAATTAAAATAATAACAACGTATCTCTTACATAATCAACATACACGCAAGTAAACGTGATATTGTACCTCAAGTAACACAATGCTGAAGTAAACAAGGGAAACGCAGTAACTTACACTTCGCAGCTGTGCGGCCATTTTAATGCAGCCAAAAAATGGGGACAGTCCGCGTAAACATCTACCTTCATTAATACAACATTTGGCCCTTAAGATCACATTCACCGTGATCTAATTAAGTTTGTTCACGTAAATCTGGATAATTGCGCCGAAAAAAATACTTTCTGACCAAGATACGCATTTGATTTTGAGACACGGCCAAAGACACCGAATGAGATAAAATGGTCGTGACTCTCCCCCAAAACAACAAAAAAAAACTGTGCCGGAGTGTTTATTTAACTAGATTAGTAAATAAGACAGAAAAGAAGACGTTTTAATTTATTTATTTTAAATGTAAGAAAAAATCAAGTAACGCTCAATTCTCGCTGGTTTTGTGAAACGCATAAGGAGCTAGCGTGCTAATCGCTAGCCATAGCCGTTTGCTATCGAAATAAATGCATTTCTGGTGCGTTTAAGTGTTGAAACGACACATTTAGAGTAAATTAAAATGTATTCACTCGATATATTTGCACCTCAAAACATTTTAGACCACCTAATGTTTAATCATTTTACGTTTTTTCATTACTCACCAGCGCAGCGACAAGATGTGCCTTTTCACTGATTTGCCGCTGTAAAGAATCAGCGTGCGCCGAGGAACAGTGACACGTGATATCAGTGGACCAATAGGATCATTCGATGGCGCGTCAGCGACAGACAGGAGTGAATGGAGTGGGCGTGGCTTTGTAATTCAGACTTGCGCCTGCAAAATAGAATTTTCTTTCTTTCTTTCTTTCTTTCTTTCTTTCTTTCTTTCGCCTGGCAAGGAAGGCGTCAGCTGAGAAAATTAGTCAATTTTTGTATGCATCAAAACAATGCAAAGTGCAATGTTAAATTGACACACTGTATTTAAATAAGACAAATGAATGACTATTTAAATATGTTTTTTTTCCTGTAAAAGTGGGTCATAGCCAGGACACGGGCTCGGCCGTTTGGGGGAGATGCAACACAAAGAAAAATGCGGCTACCGGAGGCGAACGGAAATGGGCAAATTACAGAAAGAACAGTGTGTAACAATGTGGCTTTTCTTCTGTATGTGGACTATACAGAATCCTGTGCAATAGCTCTGAAGCCAAACAAAGCTTCATGTTCAAAGACATTTTGATGAATTTTACTATTAATCATATAATGAATCACCAAAAGAGATGGTGCATGTTAATCCTGAACAATTGCAAACTAGCTTATTAAATCCAAGGCTAGGGCTGCACGATTATGACAAAAATCATAATAGTCGATTATTCCCTTGAAATTGTAATTGTGATTATTAATTACGATTATCACAATTTACATTGAATGATGTGTATACCATTGTTTGATGCAACTGCATGCTGTATTTTTATATGAAAATAAACAAGCTGAAAACACTCTATAGTGCTTTTCTATAGTATTAATCCTCAAATGTCAACTATACATTGGATTGGTTTCTTCTTTAAATTATAAAAAAGTAAAAATATGAGATATGAAAAGGGTTCTTTTTTAATATAATAATAATAATTGAGGTGACATGCATGTTTGCAGTCCATTTCACATTCATTTATCAGACTCACTCTACGGAGTGCAACTGTGACTGCCAACTTTTTCAGCAGCCTTGGTTCCAGAACTATCCTCCCGTTCATTTTCTCCATAGGCATTCTAGAAAACTCTTCAATAGAGGTTTAGGATTTCCATCAACAATACAAACCATGGCAAAACAGTATTTGAAATGGATATGAAACAAAAGTACAAGACTGTGTACTTAATTATTTTATGACAGAATGAGTTACTCATACCATGAAGCATTGTGAATGATGTAAATAAATAATAAACAATGGTAACGTATGAAATTATGGGCTATAAATCAATAATGATAGTGTAAAATACAATATATTTCATTGCTATGTATAAAATTCATTCAAATACATACACATTTTTTATACATATTTTTGTGGCATGGTAAGGAATTTGCAAATGAAAAACCCAAAATTTGGCAATTTAAATGTAAAACAAATGGAAGGTCTGTCTTGAAACTTTATACATTATTGTTAAAGTCAATTTCTTTATGGAGAAAATTAATGGGATTTTTCCTTCCAGAACCCCACTGTGCTCAATCATAATGCTTATTGAAGTTTCTGCGGTTCTAGAGCATCGCTTGCATTACAACTTCCAGTGTGCTGCTTCTTCATCCACCATTTAAGCAATAGGAACTTACATCTGCCTTCAGTAATGCTGCACTACAACGATTTTGGTTAATAACATCCTATTTTTTCCCTTTTCCAAGTCTCTTCCATGTGGTAGAACTCATACTCTGGAATCCCTCCATCAGTTCCGATTAATTGTGCTTTTCACTGAGTTCTGGAAGGAGCTGATCTCCCACCGCCGGAATGTGCTCCCTATTCGGTTACTGCGGCAGGTGGTTATGCGGTAGATCTTTCTGAGGACGGCCCGGCGTAGAAGGATATAGACCCAGGGGTCCAGAATCTGGTTCCAGGAGGCCAGACGCACTCCCATTACCATTAAAGTCCTGTAGTTTTTCAGATCATCCCCCATCATCCCCCAGCTGTACGAGCGGATGACTGACATCAGACCGAAGATCTGTCAGGAAAACAGAGAAAGTTAGTTGTAGTCAGTGGATGAAGCAATATAAAGTCATGGTATAACAGCAAAAGAATACTAAGGACTAGTCAGAACCAAGATCAAACAGGAAAATTTAATTGATCAGAAGTTGCTCATTCATAGCTCGTGAGACATAATAAATCCTCAGTTGTGATTCATCCTCACAATGCATTCAGGTCTGTTTTGACCCCTGAAGAGATTTTAAAATATCGAAATAAAATGCATGGCTTTTCTATATGGGAACCAAAGTTTTCACATGTGTCAAGACTATCAAAATACACATATGCCATTTTTATAGATTGTTTTGTAAACAAGTTATTTTTTTAAGTACCAACTTTGTTTTGAATCATACGGCTCACAGAATTTGTTCTTTGAAGAAATGTTCATATTAAAATTCCTAGAATTTTTACAGCAGACTTAGCAAATCTACACAGTTTGAGACAGTTGACATATAGGCTATTGTGGAGGAAATACATGGAATTACTATTTTTTTCTCAGGAGAAAAATCTGAGAAGGAAACTTTGTTTTCTATTTAATCTTATTGCTGTATTGGAGAAACAGTTGACATATCAGTACAGAGATCTCGTTTGTGAGTTGTCTTTCCAATGGTATTCCTACACAGACAAACTTAAAAAGTCTTTAAAAGAATAAAACAGTTTTCTTTTATTAATTTTTTTATTACAATCAGAACTTATGTCTATTTATAGAAATTTTGAGCATAGAATACAGTATTTTTAAAGTGTACTTTGTCACTTGACTTCTAATATTACTATAAATATATCTAATATAAACTGTATTTTCAGCATTTTTTGTTATGCATACTAATTTACATCCATATTTGTATACTAATTTTATATTGTTCTGTTACAATTATTTGCTTGGATCCTTCTTTAATCTTATGTTAATCTTTAATCTTATTATTTGTTTGCATATGAGGTACTTGGGGCTTATTGTAATACTTTTTTATTGTACGGTCCTTAATAGACAGACAGACAGACAGATAGATAGATAGATAGATAGATAGATAGATAGATAGATAGATAGATAGAATGGTTAAGTTGTAATTGCCAACTCACCAGCAGAGGGCTCCAGCAGATGCAAGAAGTGACCATAATGCCCACCAGCTGTGCCACCATCTCAATGTCATGTGATTTAGCCGATCTGCGGTGGCACTTCTTTCTGCGCAGACGGGCGTTCACCAGTGTCACCCCGCTGATGGTGTTGCAGACCAGTGCCACGGCCAGCGCGGCCAGTCCCAGTCCAGAAAACAGCAGCACAAATATCACGTCTGTGATGCTGGTATTGTCTAACACGTTTATGAAGCACCAGGTCCACGGGAACTGGTAGGTGTATGTTCCCAGGCGAAAGAAGGGCAGCAGCGCTACAGATAAAGCCAACAGCCATATCATCACCAGCACCATCTTGGTGTGGGCCATGCAAATTACACGGGCGTGCAGGAGAGGCTGCGTCACACCCATGCACCGCTCCGCCGCCATAACGCACCCCAGAAACAGCGGGCACAGGCCGAAGAACACCATGCTGCCGCCCAGGAAATGGCAGGTGGCATCGGGTTGGTAACAAAGTCCTCCAGCGGTGCCAGACATGTAGAGATGCAGAACCAGGGCACCTGGAATAACATGACCGGCAAGGTCCGTAGCCACCAGAGAGCTGGCGAACAGCAGGAA